TCCAATTTTAATACCAGTTACCTAAAATAAATAAAATATATTTTTTTGAATAAATAACAACAAATCTCACTTCATTTGTTGGGTCAAAAACACCTTCTTGAATTTTCGTATAAATTTCACGAGCTGTATTAATAAACGCCTAGAGTAATAAAAACAAACTTATTTACTATTTAATAGAATTTTATTTTTTGTTTACCTCTTCAACATTTGCTGCTGTTTTAGCTGATGTTTCCATAAATATCAAACCATGTTCACGTGCAAATGCTTCACCTTCTTCTTTTTGTACTTCACGTCGTGCAAATAAATCACTAAAAAACATTTTCTTTCAGTTACTTCGTAAATTTTCAAAAAAAATTAATCTTTACCATTTATTACCAATAAGCATAATAACCATATTTGATGTTGAATGTTGTCTTGCATCTTCAAGCCAACTAGTTAAATGATTAAATGTATGACGTCTAATGAAGCAAAAAATTATCAAAGAATTTTTTTTCTATGTTATTTATTTTACTGTGTTATATCGTAAACAAGTAGAGCGCCAGCTGCACCGCGATAATAAGAACGAGTTATTGAGCGAAAACTTTCTTGTCCAGCCTATTTTAAATTAATAAATATAAAAGACAATTTATATGAAAGAACAAACCGTATCCCATATTTGTAGTTTGATCTGTTTACCATCAATGGTGATCATACGTGCACCGAATTCCACACCTTTATTTTTATTAAATAAGATTTATTTTTTCTTTTTCAAATTTTTGTATTTACCTATCGTTAGATCATGAACAGGTTGAAATCGTTTATCGGTAAATTGAAGTAATAAACAAGATTTTCCGACACCTTAAAACAAAAAGAATAATAGATTGTTTTAATTTATAGAAAATAAACAACAACTAACCAGTATCGCCAATGATAATATATTTAAAAAGATAAGCATAAGCCATTATTGTTGAGCCTTAGAGAATCTAAAATGAATGAAAACAATAAATAATTATATTTTATTAGTAAATGATGATTCATTGATAAAACATTGAATGAGACATCAGCTGCTGTGCTACGTCACCATCTTGGATTCATATGATCGGCTGACTTCTATACTATTTACGTTTTTTCTTTTTTTTATATATTAAACTAACGACATCTATTTATTTTTCTTATTAAATATATAATATACTTATGTTAATTTCATTTATACAAAAGCAAATTAACTGAAAAAAGAAAATGAATTTTATATAATATAAAAATAAATATTTTGTCATAGTAAAAACTTTTCTTCTATATACATAAGAAGAAATGAAAAATAAATAGATGACTTGGAAAATAAATTTTATATAATATTAGTTTTACAATAAGAAAACTAAACTAGATATTATTATTATTTATATTGAAGAAAATATTTCATACAGAAATAATATGATTTACTTTAGATACAATACAGATATTCCATTTGAGTTAACTAGTTGTTTTTCTGAGATCAAGGTTTTTTATGAAAAGAATATTAACGAAAGCATACGTAGAAAAATAATGAGTACTAGTTGTTAGAGTTACGTAGAATTGTGACATCTACTTTGTGTTAGTAATATGACAGGAATATCAAATGATGTTTCTGAGATTTTCTAGAATCGATTAGAATAATTTATAGTAGAAATAGTAAAGAATAATACTTAATGAGTTATTAATATGAAAATAAACTGTTTTTCAATATACATTAATTATGAAAAAGTTTTGTACAACATGTTTGATCCATATATTGTATCTATATATGTTTGTTTCTTCGGATAAGTTCATTTTTCAGTCTTTTCACGACTTATTGCAGACAAATTATAGCAGAATCTATTTATATACTAGATGAGTTGTAGTTCAAAATTTTATCGATACATATATTTTTATGCATGAACATAAGGGTGGATGTCAGCGAAGGTGTAATCTTAATCTCTGAGTTACATCCTTCCGTGATAAGGCTAAAACAAATGCTTTACTCTTACCACTATCACATTTCTTTACTCAGGGAAAACAGCGATAACGATGGATAGAAGCCATTAGCAAAAGACTATCCGTCGAATCCAGGAAAGCTTTTTACCAAATGGTTTTTTTCAGTTTATTTCAGAATTATAAGAAAGATAACTGATGATTTTTACCATTTTATCTCTTATCTAGACATAAGAAAACAAGAAATATTTTATCAAAGGGTGAATGTGAGTAAAAACGGTGGCCTTTCATTTAATTGCACTCTTACCTATGCCCAGACTCTGAATTTTCAACATTAAAATAAAACTTTTCAAAGATAAGTGATATTGCATCAGCATATCTGATCGTCCTATGAATCATGATGTATTTGATACTGCTACTTATTCACGTTGTATGAAACAATAAACAAATGTGATATTTATAGTACAATTTAAGTCATTCTTTATTTGGCATCTTATTTGTATTTAGTTTTGAATTTATTGTATTAAAAATTGAACATAATAGTCTAAATATAACTCTTTTTGATTGATGAACTATATATTGAAAAATATTTTCTTTGCGCGCTTGAAAAGTAATTCAAACTATTGTATTATAATTTGAACAAATGTCCAACAATACTTTTATTGGTAATAATCAAATAAATAATGAAAAATCTCATATTGAACGTCGTCATAGTAGTACCAAACATCGTAATGAAAATGATGACGACGAAGGTGCTGTATGGAGTGTTAGTAGTAATGGAGGTTTGAGTCGATCAAGTCATGATGATGGATTTGTATTTCAAAGTAAATATGATTTTATAAAATCAAAAGATTAGTTTTGTATATTTTTAAATTAGATGTTTCCATTCATTCTGATAATCAAGAATTTGTAGAAATTGATAAATTTTCTGGGTAAAAATATCAAATAGAAAATTATTGATGATAAACAATTGAAATTGTTTAGTGAAAAATCAACTAACGAAGAATATTTCAAATTAATAAATAATAAAAATCAAGAATATTTCTATGATGGTACTGAAGAAATCTTATTAAATTCTGATAATGAACAGATAAATAACAATGAAGATGATGAACGTTTATTTAATAATGATGATCGAACATCTTTTACACGTGAACAACTTGTTGAATATCAACAATTAATAAAATTACTTCGATTTGTTAAAGTTTGTCCAAGAAAAAAAATGTTTTTTTTTCTAAATTAAATAAAAATATTTAGAGTGGAGGTCGATGTACAACAATTCTTTCATTAGCTATATTACATGATTATAATTTACAAGATCAATGTGCATTTTTAGCATTTAAAGATTCATTAACAATTAATGTTATGCTTAATTTTATTGAAATGTTCGATCGTGATCTTAAAGTATATTAGAAAATTTTCATAGAAAACAAGATTAGTCTTTTTTTAGTTAAATACTTTATATGTTCTTGAAAATGCATGTCAAAATTCTTCATTTGCCTATGAAATATTTCGATTAGGTGGAATAATAACGATTATTGATAGTATGTGTTTAGATCATATTGGTATAGAAGAAAGTTGTTCGATTTTACTTAAAATACTTTCATTTCGTCGAGCAAGAAGAGTTATTAGACGTTTTGGTGGTATTAGTAAATTGGTAAAGAAAAAGTTAAATATCGAATAAATAAATTTTTCTTGTATTTTAGATAACTTTATTAGATGAATTAAGTGAAAATTTTATTGAAGATAATTTATTTAAAGTATTTTTATTATTATGTAAATCAGAGAAGAATAAATATGTTTGTATTCGATATGGAATTGGAAAAATTATATTAAAAATTATTTTAAATATTTCAAACAATTCAGCAATAACACTTATTTCATTACTTGCTATTCTTCTTCAAATAGTAAGAGAGTTCTTTTTTGTCTCAAAGTTTAATGACATATATACCTTTTCTTAATAGATAAATTATATAAAGAATAAGACTAATTTACTATTTTAAATTGTTACAGTTCTTTTCTCGTGAAAATAATCAATGAGAACTTTGGACTCTATTGAAAAAAAAGTTTCATTAATGATTTTCCGGTTTATACCCGTATTTCTTTATAGAGACGGACAAAATGTATTGTTGCTGTTTATATGAGCCGATAAATTGATCGAGGGATGATTGAAATATTTTGCAGATGAGGGACGATTTAATTGGCAATTATTTTTCTTTCTAATATACGAAAAATAACATATTTTATTATAATCAAAATAGATATAAAATTATTAATCCATTTTTTATATACAAAGTACATTCCGGTAATGGAATGAAATGTTTTTGTGCAAGAGAAATTTTATCCCTTCGATGATTTTTTCAAATCATATAAAAACTAGGAGAGTTCATCTTTCTCTTCATTCGTTATTCTATTTTGCATTAACAATACAGTTGACTTGCATTTCAGGACAGCCAATTTACCTAAACCAGCTGTATGCATTTTGTCTGACTGCCTTTTTTTAAAACTCCGATAGTAGTTCTATTACTGAATTCTACATACTTTATTCTATAAGGGACAAAGACATTTCGTACTAGGTGTCCGGGACAGGGTGTGGGTGCGTCGGTGTACTATAAGAGAAGAATGGCTTATACACTCACACCCTTTTTGTCATTCCGAAGATCCCATATGTCGGGAAATCGAAATGGAAACTTGGTGCGAAATGTCTCTTTTCTATTCAATAAATTAATCTTATTTTTTTCTCGAGTTAAAACATCAACACAGATATTATTCCCAATTTCTAAAAACTCTACCTAAGTCCAAATATCTTTTTAGCCAATATTTCGTATGCAAATGATGGATAAAGATTTAATAATTAGTTTAATAAATTTAATCGATGTAACAAATATTGAATTAACACGTGTAATTTGTGAATCTTTCTATTATCTTTCATTTGATATTCATCATTTACAATTTATCTATCAATACGGTTTTAAAAAATTAAAAGATATATTAGAACAAACCAATGATTCATCTATATATTGTTCAATAATAAATATTTTAACAGAATTTATTCGAACAAATGAAAATATTTCGAATGATATTATATTAAATATGATGAAATTTTTAAAAAATTCTTCGAATAATTCATTTTATTTATTACGGATTATTCAATCTTTAAATCAATTAACAAAACTTTCTCAAACAATAAAATTATTTAAACAAGAAAATATTTTTCAAGATTTTATTTACTATTTACAAAATATAAATCATTCAGATATACAATTAAATATTTTATTTATTTTACAACAATGTGCAAAAGATAAAGAAGCAGCGAAGTATATTCTTTCGAAAAACAAAAACTCATCTATTATTTATTTTTTCTAAAGTATGATTATTGATAATAATGGTTTACAAGAATTATGGACATTATTTAAATTAGCATTGTTACCAATTAAAATAGCTGCTGGATGGACAATTAGGAATTGTCTTGCATCAATAGAAGTTTGTTGAATAGGAAATAAATAAATAAATAAATTTTGTTTTTTAAGAATCATGGTGAATTAATACGTTCATTTGATGGGATCTTTTATTTTATTTTAAATACATTATCAACAGAAAATATTCAATTACTTGAAGTTACTTTAGGAATTATTGCTGAAATTGTTCAAGATGAATATAATTCAGAAATATTTACTGAACTTGGAATTGTTTCAAAAATTTCGCAATTAAATTCTCTAGTTTGTTTTGTTTAATAATAAATAAAAATAATCTATATTTCTTTTTCGAACAAAAAGGATAATCCTCAATTGAGTAAATCATTTTGTAATGTAATAGCTACTTTATTAAATTTACCAAAAAATCAACAACAATTTGGTAATCGACATGTAATTATGGCATTGAAAAATTATTTTAAACAAAATGATAACGAACTTTCGAAATCATTAACTAAAGCTATATATGATCTTTCTCTTATTCCATCAAATTGTATTATTTTACATGATGTTGGTATAGCATTAGTAAGAAATATTCATTGAAAAGATTATTATTGAATTATTTAATAGGATCTACTTAAATTAATCGGAGATGATGATCCATATGTTCAAGAAAAATCAGCGAATGCTTTACGTAATATGCGACAATTATTGAATGATAATAGACAAATAGAAAGAAGTTTAAATAAAAATATAAATCGAGGTATGATTAAGTGATTTTATAATAAGAGATTTATTTTAATTGAAACTTATTTAGTTCCAATGCAAAAAATAGTTAAGAAACGAAGTAAATGTATATTTTAAATGATATATTTGTATGAATTTAATCGATCTATTTTTGATTATATTTACTCAAGATTTAAGTCAGTAGTATAAATAAAATATCGAACAAAAACAGAATTAATTATTTAATTGTGCAATTTGTTGAAGTTTTAAAAGTTTCTTTTTCTCTTCATTTGATATATTAGCTTTTCCAATCGTTTTCCAATCGAATTCTTGTGGTAAAACTCTTGCATAACCTAATGCACATAAAAAAGCAGTGAATTTTAATCTTGTTATTGGATGTAATCGATAGTGATCGAATGATTCCGTCATCCATGACCATCCATCTTTTTTTGCTCCATTAGGCCAATAACCTTCATATGATCTTGTTGCAGCTAAATTATCCGCAACCATTTCTAAAATTGCATCATCAGGCATTTCATGTATAATTAAATTATTTAATTTATCATTTTTCCAAAGAATTTTCGAAACTGATGGATAATCTTCGATAAAATGTTCCGAATGATGATCATTATGACGAACATGATGTAACCATGCTTGATGGAAGGTTTCTGCATTTTTTTTTCTCACCATAAAAATGTTCGGCATATGGCCAAAATTCACTTCGACTAAATTTTGATAAATCATGCAATATAAGACGTTTGTATGATACTTGATAGGATGTTGAACGAAGAATTTTATTTATACGAATACCAGCTAATAATATACAAAATTTATGGACAACTACTGCCCAAAAATAACGAATGAATAGTATAATCATTTTCTTGTTTTTATTTAGATTCAAAGAAAGAAAAACAAGTCTTGTAGAATAAAAAAATCAATCCTGTTTTTTTCCATTTCATAGTTTATGATTAATATTGAAAGGTATTCAAAAGATGTCACTCGTAATTGAATTCCTTTTGATTCATAAAACTCATGCAAACATTGTTTTATTAAGTAATAACTTCTATATGAGCATACCTATCTGTATAAAGAGAGAAGTGTAGCACTTCAGCATTTATAGGTAAGAATTATGCTATTCTATGTGGATTTGTTTCGAGAAAAACGATATTTTATAAGGTTTAATCAGGGATTTTAAATCTACCCATATCTTCGGAATCGGTTCGGTTTGGACGATTAGTAACGATTTTGAAGATTTTATCGTAATACAGCGTACAATTCATCAACTCGCCGACTTTCATCGCATGGGTACAATCGATCTTTCAAGTTTCTTCTCTCGGCTAGGGACAATTCTTTTATAGAAAAAACAAATAATTTTGTAGTGAGATAGGTATTTAATGACTATGCAATTGCAACTTATTGTTTCGAAAATCTTTAGTCAAACTGTATAAAATATCGATATTTCACTCCTTGCTTATCTCGTTCTAGTGTATTTCTGTCAACTTAAAAATCTTATATTTAATAGATGAATGATATTTATTTATATATTTTACATAAAAAAAGGATTAGCGAAAAAAAGTTCTTAGTTTTATTGATTTTCTGTTTCTCGTCGTCGTCGAACGAATTCAGTAGCCGTTTTATCTGATACACGTACTTCTAATATCTCAATGATACGACTTCGTACAGCTAAAATCATAAATAAATAAATAATTTTAAATAGTTTTATTTTTTTTTCTTTCAAACCTTTTGGATGTGTTAATGAAAGTTCAATTTGTTTTAATTCATCTAAAGGTCTCGTATCACTATTTGATTCATGTGGAATTCCTGATACTTTCGATATTTCAAGAAAAGCTTCACCTTCAAAATCATTTGACCACATTAAATCATGATCCATAACAGTAAAATGAATTACACCTCCAGATAAATTACATTCTTTTTCTGTTAAACGACTAAAATCAAACAAAAATTTAAACATTCGAAATAAGAAATTTCATCTTACAATTCAAATTTTTCATTAAACGATGGATTTAACGTTTTTTTAACAATTGATGTTTGTTGTTTTTCAATATGAGGATATAAAAATTTCGGACATAACTGAACTTCAACATATGGATCACTAAAATAAAATAAAATTTCGTTTAAAATCAAAATAAAATCTAAAATACCTTAAACCATTTGAATCACAAGGTTTAAGATTTTTACATGATATAACTATAAAATAAAAAAATTTATTCATTAATTATCTAATTCTATGATGTTTACTTTCAACATATAATGTTTCTTCTTTTAAATGATAATATGCACGACAATAAAGTTTTCCTAGATCAGGAAAATTCGAAGATTGATTTATAATAACAGCACGTTCTTGTTCATGTAGTTTTTCCTACAAAAAAATATTTATTAAGAAAATTTTTTTGTATTTTTATCAACAAACTTGATAATATAATTTGATTAATGAATGTGTATCAGTCGTGTGATATTTTAATAATTTTTTTATTAACTAAAAAATAAAGAATTTAAATTTTGTTATATAACAAGTTTGATTTTTACTTTGTATTTATCAGTTTTGAGCAAATCTTTTGGTAAATATTGTTCATCGGAATTAAAATAATCGACAAAAGAATCAAGAGCTTTTGTTAAGCGTGTATAAGATGATGTTGATCGCTAAGATTTTATTAAAGATAAGAAATAAATCTTATAGAATAATTCGATTCTTACAACTGTCGAAGCTTTTTCAATTTCTGATAAAAGTTGATCAATAAGAACAGACCAAACAAGTTCCAATAATCTATTATTAAACGATATTATTTCATTCATATGTTAGAATAAAATTACCTTGTAAAATTTTGTCTAATTAAAACTTCTTTATATGGAAAAATTCTTTTTTCAAGAAATGTAAAAAGTGGTTGAGTTGCATCTTGAAATGAAATAAGTTCCGGTGCTTCGATAATATGAAATAAATTTTGTTTTAATTCCATTTCCACATTTGTAACAACTTTACTTAATATCTGATAAATTCTATCTGTTATTTCTTGACTACACATTGCAACAGTTGTTTCAATTTTTTTTCTATATTCATCAACAACAGCAATTGGATGAAATTTTTCTGCTGCGACTAATAATTTATCATAAGATAATTCAATTGGTAATGTTTTAAATGATTCTCTTATACGTTCAATATCATTCACAGTTAATGAAAGCTAGAAAACAAATATAGATTTGATTTTTTTCAAAAAACTATTTTACTTCATGTGTATAATAAGATAAATCATTTGTTTCATAAAATTTTCTTGCATTTAATTTTCCTTCAACTAATGTTGCATATAAACGTGTTGCATTTGCCATATCTTCAGTAATTTTTATTAAATATGTTATAGAACTAATTATATCAGGCCAAGCTAAAATTGAAAAAAAATGAAACTATTTATTACAGGATCTCGAAAGATACGGATGAGATTGAAAGTAGTGGCGTAACCAGGATTTTGGCCGTGGTTAGAAGACAGTAAGCAGTGCCTGTGGAGTGGTAGGGCGCACAAGAAAATTTGGCTTACAAAACTAAAATGGGTGGTTAGGCGAAAAGACCCTGTGATTTGGCGGTATCCAATCACGGAGACAAAGACATGACGTACTAGGTGTCTCGGACTCCCGATAATTTGTTGGGGTGTCTGGAATTGATTTTTTTACCACTTTTACCGGGCGTCCGTAAAGAGTGTAGGTGAGTGAGTAGGGGTGTCACTTTAACTTTATTAGTTAAAGTACTTAAAGTTTAAAGTAAGTACTTTAACTTTACGTTTTTAAAGCAAAGTTAAAGTGACACCCACTCAGAGTGGGTGTGAGTTTGGATGTCTATTACGAGAGAAGAGTATTTTATACATCCACAGCCACCAGAACACTTTGCTTGTTTAAAGTTTTGTCATTCTGAAGATTTTGTATGTTTTTGTGAGTCGGGAAATCGTAAAAAAACGTTGGTGCGTTATGTCTCTTTCCCCAATCAAGCCCGACCCTGATTACGTCACTAGTTGAAAGGATTCTAAACCCTCATTCGCATCTTTCGTATACTACGCTATTTACCTAATCGTCGCCAAAATTGTGATATTTGACTAAAACAATTTGATACATCTAATGATGAATTTGTAAATTTATTATTATATGCTGTTGTACTTGATCCTTCTACTTTATCTTTTTCAACTGAACGTTCAATTCGATAAAGAATTTTATTTCGAGCAACTGATAACCATTTTTTAACAGCTGCACCAAAATAATTATGATATTGTGTGATTTTTAAATTTATTCGATCACTAAATAAATTTTTTTATTAAGAATAAGAAAAGAAAAATATTTTAATACAAACGTTTCATTAACATAAATTCTATATTTTGCTAATTCATGAAGTGATAAATAAAGTTCAAATAATGATAAACTTATTTGTTCAGCTGATGCTGCAAATGTAAGAATATCAGCTGCATCTGATTCTTTATTTTCTAATAATTTCGATGGAGATTGATGAATTTGATCACCGAGCTAGAATAATTCTTTTTTCTTCTTTTTGATCAAATTAATTATACAAAATCTTACTTCTTCTTCAAGAGCTTTTATAACAATATCCATTAACTTTTTTGTTTTAAAAAAAAGAGAAATATATATATTATTTTAAAGACTTTTGTTTTTAATTACTTTTCCATCGACTTTTTTAAATGATATATTATAAAATGACATTTTGACGATACTAATAAGAAAGAAAATTTCAGATTTAAATATTTTTAGTTTAAATAATCAACATACGATTCAAATATTGGATTATAATATTTAACAGCTGAATGAGCTGAAAAAGAAAAATTTTATTCTATTATTAATTATTTTTATGGTAAAATTATTTAATGTAGGATACAATTTATTTTAATAAAGAATTGATTCATGTCTTTATTTTGAATAAGATATTGATAACGTTGAAGGTTATCAATAGTATTTTATTTTTTCATTTTTCTTAATTATCATGATCATATAGACACCAAAAGAGCAGCTTAGTATTCATTTAAGATCAAACGAATGTGATATAAAAAGAGTAGAGGAAAAAGGAAGGACTTTTGTCTGTGGATAAGACGGATTAAATTAAACCCGCTTTTCTATATATATATATCATCACTCTTAACATATAAATTGATTCTATATTTTTGTTTATCTACTTCTCATTATTAATTCACGAATATCATTAGTTCAATTTAACTGATATAACTTTATTAGATCTGCTTAATATTCAAAGAAAAAGCATTTCAAATACATCATTAAGAAATATACAATCAATGCTAATCAATTAGAGTCTGACGTAGGATTAATCTCAATTCCAGAAAAAATGGGTGGTGATGTAACCAAAATTTTGATAGTAAGAAGCTTAGCTAATATAAATCTATACTTGCAGTAAGACTTATAGAAAAGTTTATATGAGATGACTTCTTTCGTCAATGCTCTCTTTGACTACTGTAATGATTTAAAAATTAACTTACCATCAGCAATTATAACATAAACTAATTCACTTGTATTCCTCAATGTATCTTCATCCGACTAATGAGAAGAAGAAAAATATTTTCATACAATTATTGAAGTAAAACTCACTCGTAATCTTGGTTTGGTTATTTGTGTCACCATTCGATCAAACCATTCCACTGTTCCTGCCTAAATAATAAAAAAAAAATGAGAAGACCTATTTTGTTTCTTTAATTTTATACTTTAATAATCGATGTTATTTCAAATTGAAGATCATTTTGAAATGGACAACAATAATGAAATATTTCCATACCATGTAATTTTGCGATAATTCTTAATACAAAAAACAAAATTCCAAATTTTAATTTATTCGTTTGTTTTTATTTACGTTAAAAGTTGTTCAAGTCTTTCTATGGATGTTTTATTATTAGCTGGAAATATTTCTCGAATTTTTGTTAATTGTTTAAAACAATAATTTAAAAATAATGTAAAAGCTTCTGTTAACATATCACTCTCATCTCGACTTAATGATTTTGATTGCCACGTTTGTTCTAATTGTTCAGTAATAGATAATAATAATCTATTTGATAATGTACGTTCAAGATGTTTTTTCGAATATGCGATCCAACGACACATTGAACGTTGAATATCTGTTATATCACCTTGTATCGCATGTTGATGTAAAATTGTTTCAGCATCACGCGATAACTCACCTGACCAATGAGTTTTTTCACCCTGCAAATTATTCGGATGTTATTTAGATTTTAATAACAGAAAATGATGTATAATATATATATATATATATAGAATTATAAAAATAGAACAAATTCAAACCTTAAATTTATTTAATTCATGATCAATAAATATTTGTAAAAGTTCAACATGTTGTTTAATATCTGTCCAATTATCTTCTTCAGGTACTCCACGATCTTCTCGAGTTGTTAATTTAGCTCGAATATGTATTTGACCTCGAACTTTAGAATTTTCACTTCGACCTTCTAATGAAAACCATTTATCAATACCAGTTGATGGAATTTCCTATAATAGAAAGAAATGTTGTTGTTTTTATTTTATTTTATTTTCAATAAAAACATACACTTATTTTAAGATTAACAGAACCTAAAAAATCATCAATATGTGAACCTTCAGTTGAGCCATTTGTTCGTGCTGATTGAGCTATTTGTTTAAAATAACGATTAAGTCCTTTAAAACCTTGAACTTGATTAAGTTTTTTTGCTGCTTCAAAAACAGAAAATTCATCATCATGATCCCAAATATCCAAATGAAATGTTTCAGTTTTTCCACTTTCAATCGCACTTTTAATTAAAAAACAATAAGTAGAATAATGATAAAAATATTTTTTAAAACTTACAAACGAAATTTTTCCATCCAAATTGGATTGAGTGTTGCTTTTTTAACATCAGTTGTTTGAATATATTTTGCTGGAAGTTTATCTTTTAAAACAGAATAAGGACTTGTACCAGTAGTTGAATGGTTTTTTTCACGACCTTGTGCACGTCGTACTGTAGATTTTCGAAAACTTCGTAAACGTTTCATAAAACCAAGTTTATTATCATTTGGTGACGTCACATTAGCTCCTTCTTCATCGGATGACATTCCACCACCACTGTTGCCACCATTACCTTGTTGAGGTATAACAAATTTACGTATTTCAGGTACAATACCCAACATGCAATATGGATCCGAAAATCCTAATTTAAAAAAAGTTTTGTTCAAATAGAATAAAAAGAAAAATTTTAATTACCATTTGCATCTTTAGCTTCTAAATCTTTTGCTTCAACTATTTCAACATTTAAAATCAATATAGGAGGCTAAAAAATAATAATAATATTTAGAAAACAAATAAATAAATAAATATATATAAATATACTTTTTCCTCATTAGCTTTGGCTAATAAACGTTGATGATCTTCACTTAATAATCCAAATGCTTCTTGGGCATAAGCATAAAGATCATTTTCTCCTCCACTATATTTTGATGTTATTGAACCAATTTTATGTTTTATTGTATATAATGTTTCAGTATAAAGTAATTCATATTCATTTTGTGTTATACCTTGAAGTTTTTCGGCGATAGTTAATCGATATTCAAGTGGACTTTTGTCATTATCAACATCACCCTTTATAAATAGAAGTTAATAGAAAAAAGAAATATTACTTTTTTTTTTTCTTCCTAAATACTTCTTTTTTGATTTTTTGTCGTCGTTGTTCATGTTTTTGGGCAACAGCCTCGAAATTTTCCATAAATGAATGTACACCTTCATTTTCAAATCTAAATAAAAAATTCAATGAAAAATAATTTAACTATGAATTTTTTCTATAATCTTATTAAATAAAAATAAAATAATATCTACCGTTTTGAAAGTGCTGCAGAAAATTTTGATTCTTGTTGAGATGATAAAATCATTCTTAACTTGATCTGTATTTTTTATTTTATGTCTTATAACAAGTCAATATATAAGACTATATGAAAAAAAAGAAAGAGTTTCTTTCTAGTCTACGTTTCTTTTTCTATTATGCGTCATTTTCTTTTTTATCTCAAAGTATTGCAATGTATTTTTTTGCATGATTACTACTGAAGAGGAAAAAAAACGAGAAAGTATATGTCTCTATGAGAGAGAATAAGGACACTTTTCCGAATAAAGAGTATCTAACAAAAAGAAAAAGCAACTAGAGTAGAGATGAAAGTCATGATCCTTTTTATTAAACATCATGCAGATTTTCATGTTTTTCAAAGAAAAATATCTTAAGATACATCCATATGCATATTTTGATCAATTTTTATGATAGATTTTTAATTAGAAAAAAAATATTTATCTACGTGAAATAATATTCGAGGGTTTCTTTTTTCTCTCTCTTTTCTAGTATTTATTTGTCAGAAATAATACGATTGATGCTTCATATCACATTTGATAAACAATTTCTAATGGAACCTTTCAAATGTGCGTGTGTTTTAGTAACACCTTCAAGCAATTATATATATTTAGAGAAGTAATTATAGTGTGATAGGTAATCTTAATTCATATGCATTAAAAAACGAACTACCCGTTTGATAATATGTCGATAATCTGACTGAAGATCAGGCGATGAGGTTCACTCTTCTCTTTTATATCCGGTTTTCAACGGAAATGTATTTTGCCCGCCTTTTTTTTTACTAAAGAATCATATAACAATCATCTGACTGCTTTTTACACTCCGTATTTTCCGTTAGGAAAGGAAACGGATGATGTGTCTTTCCGTGGCTGTCTGCTTCCCATTCTATTTATATGAAGCCCCTCAAATATGGCACTTACATTAGATCAAAAGCTCTTTATATACTATCATTTCAATAGCTATTATTTTATCTTAAATCTACCATCTTCACATTCTTTTTATTTTATTCACAACAACAACTTCACTTAATATTTTAGTTTCTCTTCATTAAAATAAATGTCATTCATAATAATAAAAACAAGTAATCACACATGTATATCAAAAGTAATTTAAGCTATCAATCTTATAGATATTAATAAACAATATCTAAAAAAAAAGGGAGTTATCATCATTCATCTTGTGTGTTTATGTTGATTAATAATACTCATTGTGCATTCACATGCTAACATATAAATTATCTATCATTTCTAAATATATATTTCTATATTTATATTGACTTGATAAGCATGAAACAAGGTATTAAAAGTAGACTAGACGGAACTACAAGAGCATTATAATAAGAAGTTGCTGTTTCTTTTCAAATATCTTTGATGATTATTATCATTATAATAAAATATTCTGTTTTCGTATTAATTTATGCGGATTTTATATTTATGATAAAAATAATCTTTATCGGAGACAGAACTAAATCATGCAGTCAACTAGAAACATGTAAACAAGTTGTAGAACATATAATACAAGAAAAAAAAAAAGAAAAAAGAAAGGAAGGAAGGCTAAGAATAGAAATTATTTATTTATTTAAGAATAACAAAAAATTTTTTTTCGAAGAAGAATTAAATAGTTTTTAGAATATTCATCAATAAATTAATATAAAACAATTTCTTTATCAAAAAAACAATAATATATTTAGATAAATAGGTGTTGATAATGATATTGACTTTTATTATTCAATCAAATGAAAAACCTCAGAGATTCTCATGACAACATAATTTGCAAGGACATTGACATGTTTTTCCGGTGTTTTACTACATTTTCTCAAGTCAATATATGCCGACATATAAATCAAATTTACTTGTAAAAGTACATTTTGACCCACTAAAAAGAATATTAACCTTGTTCTTTATAAATTTGAATTTTTTATCTAATAGATTTTTCATTAGAACACAATCCGATAAATCATCAAGTTTTTATTTAATAACAAGGCTATGAATTTGATTATGATGAATAGCACTCTATAAAAAAATATATTTTAGGTTGGCAGGATAGACATACAAAAAGTATTTTTGAGTAAATATGCATTCATATTGTATGAATTATTTTTGCTTGAATAGGGAAAAAACGTTTTTTATCTATTAAATCACGCAATATAACAATTTTTTCTGTTGGCCAAAAAAAATAACAATGTAATAGAATAATACTATAGAATGTCAAGAGAAGTGTTTCGATAACGCTATTAGACTAAATAATAGATTTAATCAAAAAAATAAGACCTAGAAATAGATTTCTACTCTTTACATGCGAACATGAAGTTTGGTTATTTATCTATCGATCAAGTTTTTTCTTCTCGAAAGCAATTCTAATCAAATAAAAGTAGATTGATTTAAAAAATCACAAACTTCCGGAAACGTTACTATAGGAAATGTCTTCTTCTTCTTTTCATATTGAAGATAATGAATATATAAAGAATTAACCTATAATGAATGACTAGTCCTTGATGTTAGTTTTAATTATTAAATATGTTTTGATACAAAATATTGTTAACTATATTCTATTTGGAATTACGTAAATCTTTTAGAAGAATGCAAATACAAGTTGTATCGACTTAATCGCCACACAAGGATAAAATATAAATTTCATTATAGTATTAACTAAAAATAGACAGAGATAAAGATTTTCTGCATGAATATATCCATTTATTTATAACTTTATTTTAATCATGAATTAAGTACATATTTTTCGAAAAAAATAAATAAAAGAAATTAACTGATCTATTTTTTTTAATTAAATATAATAATCATATGTTAGTTTATATAAATATAAACAAATCATTAATGACCTTCAAATCAGGTACATGTTTTCTTCTTAAAATTAATAGCTAGGAATGAACTATGTAGTCATTAATTACTTTCAAGTTAATATAAGTGTATAGAATAGGAAACACTCAACTAGAAAAATCATTTTTCATTCATCGTCCAAGATCATACTTAAATCGTTACGTTTAACACGTATACTTGGAGAAGAAGAAGAAAAAAAAGTAATTATTTATTCATCGAACTCAACAAGTATTTTCTTAATAAGATTCCACATTTAGCTATGTTCGCGTAGACGGATTAGTCTTTCACTTCACATTAACCACTAAAACATATAAATTGACCTCTGGGACTTTTAACTACGCATTTTTTTTTTCTTATCATACTGTCATCTATAATCATCTTAGAGAAATCGAAAAACGCACTTAAATTATTCATTTTCTATAAAGTTCATTGTATAATATTTTTAGACAAAAAAAGAGGAAAAGTAGAAAAAAAAATTTGTTTCATTGTTATCTATTTTTGATGAAACATTAATAAATAAAATATATTTATAAATTTATAATAAATGCAATTGATAATACAATCAGTTATTCAAGCGTATTAAATCTGTCGTTTATTCTTCATTGAATGAGACTATTTTCTTTATGTATTTAACCTTATTTCTACAAAAGTTTTGTTTTCCGATTATTTAAAGATTTTATAGACATGATTAACATGTCGAGTAATATAATGGCATGAACTTTTCTGATGATATGTAATTAACTTACTTAGCAACTAAAGCATCGGACCAACGACGACCACGCATATGGATTCGTTCCATCTATAATCTTTTAAAATGAATGTTAATGATAAATGTCAATGTCGTTCTAAGAGTGTATAATAACGTGTCTTCTTGATGTCGGTATTGTGTCTTATAGTTTTCTTCTTGTTCTTTATTTAAATACATTTTGTTCGTTCTTCTCTATAGATTGGACGCTCTTTTCTCACGCTCACTTTTGCTGCTCGTTTGTTAGGATCTTTATCTCCCTTGAGCGGCAGTAGCAGCGCTACTTTTGCCGTTCTCATCTAAGTGAACAATAATACTAGACAAAACGTAGTGACAAATGACAACAAACGGAAAAAAAAA